TCCTGTCTGGCCCTCCACATGTCTGCACTTTGCTGACCATGCAGGTGTCGTGGGCTTTGTCCTGCAGGGCTGAGGGACAAATGGAATTATGAAAGCCAAAGCCGGCAGTGCCCAACCAGGCAGGACTTGGCACCAGTGCCCACATACTCTGGTGCAGCTTCCTATACCAGGAATGCAGACACAGTGTGGACTGGCACTCCCGGTGGGAGGCCACACACAGAGCCATGTCAGCAGAAGGGAGTGGCTATGTCCCAGGGAAGAAAGGAGGATGGTCCAACAGTCTCAGGTGGAGGGGAAAGGGAGATGAGTCAGGTGTGGCCACCAAGGAACATGTAGCCTCTGCTCCCTGAGTGACACCACGGGCTCTGAACTGCAGAAGGCAGGAAGCAGTACAACCTGAAAGGGGGTGTCTTAGAGCAGTTCCTCCAGACGGAGAGTCAGAAGGAATGGTGACAGCAGAGGCAGGGAGGAGACAGCCCCATCAGATAGTACCAGGAGAGAGGGTTGTGAGCTCAGCCCCCCGATGGCTCAGGTCAAAGACACTGGACCAGAGCCCTGAGGCCCTCTCTCATGCCCAGGGCTGAGACTGACCCACATACCTGTAGCTTGGTGACTCCCACCACCCACGCCATTTCAGATGGGAAGCCCGAGAGCCCTGGGGAGCTCCAATGAATCGCCCAGGATGGCAATGCTCCTGGGTAAGCCCAGTCCTTACCACAGACTCCAGGCCCTTGCATCTGCATGACAGTGCGTGTGTGGTCAGAGTTCACACACGGTCCTGCGACGCCCCCTCTTGCCTTGGCCTGCCAAAGCAACCTATCCAGGAGAACCCCAGGCCTGCCGGGCCTTTCCAGTCGCCTTCCTCCACTCCCATCTGTCCTCTCATGCTTCGGCCCCTGAAGGGCACTGAGGCAACCATGTGGCAGCCACAACCAAGAGCCCAGGCTGCAGTGTGCCCGCCCCAGTACATACACAGAAGAGGAAGAGGGAGGAAGGTGTGTGTGACTCCCTGGGAGCAGCCAGGGAACACAGGACCTCCATCTATGTCCTCATCCCCCAAGGGATGACCTGAAGCAACTGAGAAGCACTGCAGTAACACAGGCCTGGAGATTCCTCTTCAATGCACTGTGTCCACAGTAAGCTTTTCTGTGGAGCCTGGAGAGCAGAGCTTCTCTCTCTGCTGGAGGGTCCTGCACCGCCTGGTGACACCAAGGACACAGCAGGCTCTCCTGAGGATCCTGGCCAGGAGCTGACAGCACAGAGACCCTGATCATGTCAGTCTGTATTTCCTGGGTACATGCTATGTGCCTTGTCCTGCTCTAAGACCCACACATAAATTATGTCATCAAATCCTCCCAACAGTCCTGTGAGGGGGCACTATTACTGGCCCTATTGACAGATGAGGAAACTGAGGCATAGAGAGCTACACAGTGCCCCGCCCCAGGCCACAAGCAGGTAGGTGGTACAGTCAGGAGTCTAGCCTTGGCCATCAGGCCCCAGAGCCTACAGTCACAACCAATGTGGTTTCCTGCCCAGTCCAGGAACAGGTTTGAATCAGTAGGACTTGGGAACAGCATGGGTGTGGCTGACCTGTAGCAAGAGAGTCTTCGCTGAGATGGGGACGCAAGAGAAGCAGGCCTGTGGCAGTGAGAGCACAAGTGACTGCTGTTTGGCCAAGTGCACTCAGGGTCTATCAGACGTCCACAGAGAGTGGGCAGAAGAGAGATATGAGGCTCCCCATAAAGCCAGAACATGAAGCCGGGCTCAGTAGCCCAGCCTGTAATCCCGCGCCTTTGGGAGGCTGAGGTGAGTGGTTTGCCTGAGCCCGTAGGTTCGAGACCCGCCTGAGCAGTGAGACCTCATCTTTACAATAAATCAAAAAATCAGCTGGTTGTGGTAGCACACACCTGTAATTCCGGCTACTTGGAAGCCTGAGGCGGAAGGATCACCGGAGCCCAGCAGGTCGAGGCTGCGGTGGCCGGGAGCAGCCACTGCACTCCAGTCTGGGTGACAGAGTGAGACTCAACACAATAAAAAAAAAATTTTTTAAGCCAGAACATGGGCCCAGCTGCTACATCAGCATGTCCAGGCTGCTCAGGCCACAGCCACTTGGGATGGGGTCGCCCTTGCTCTCGGGTGTCAGGTCTCCACCAACCCATGTGCGCTCCAGGCAGGGCTCACTCACCCTGAAGGAGCTGAGGAGCGAGAAGGACTCAGACCAGAACTGCAGAATCCCGTCCTTGGTGACTGTCAGGAAACACCCAATTTTCTTGGACTAAAAAGTTCACTTCCACAACCTCACAGCCATGGTTCCTGTGGAAAGTTGTAAGAGACCAAGACACTCAACTCTCTGCAGCACTGCCTAAGAATACAGCCATGGGAAGGAAGGATGGAAGCGGGGCTTCTCTCACGTGCGTGCCATGCACACATCACACCCGGGACCTGCAAGCAGCATTTGATGGGGACACTTTCCTCCTCTGGGCAGATGTCTACCGGGTCATCAATGGAGCCAAAAGAAAAAGAGGGGCTCCCAAGCCAGGGGGCTGACCTTGGGAGATAGCCAGCCTGCCTCCTGACAACATGACAGAGGGGACAGAGCAGGGAGCTTTTACAAAGCTCCTTTTACAGGAAGGCAGCCCAGAGGGCAAGTGAACTAGAACTGGTGACTGAAAACTGAGAAATGACACTTTCCAGCAACAAGCTAGTGCTCCAGTGTGGAGAAAGAGCTCAGAAACAAGATGAAAGTGAACAAGGGACAGAGAGGAATCAGGGCCCCGCAAACCTAACCCTTCACAGCAAACATTCCCTGGACAGGCCTGGCCTCACAAAAGGCCACCCTCCAGTCTGAGCCAACTCTCTGGCCATCAGGGGTCACCGACATCTTGACTTCTGGACAGGGCATGGCACTCGCTCTCCCACTTGATCTTCCCAGTCTTTGGGACCCATCAGGGCAGGTGAAGTTACTTCACCTTACAGGGACACAGGGGACGAGCATCTGGAGTTATATCCTAGTTACCAGCAGCTGGAACCAGAACCCAGGCACCCAGACCCCCTCCTCCAGAGCCCTCTCCAAATGCTGCTGTGGGCCTGGTCCATCCCGTGGCTTAAGAATAACCCACGCCACTGTGAAATTCGACTGCCATGACCACTTCTGCAGGAGAGAGAGGGAAACATGGGCCTGGACACAGCTCTCCTCTCTCTCCTGCCCTCAGCCCACAGCTCTGGATGGACCATGACAAATATTCAGTCATCCTTTTGCCATCATTTCCAATCCTGCCACTTGTCAAGGGACAAAGACTAGGCAGAATGGGACAACAGGTGAGCACCACAAGAACAACGACAGCCCCAGGGAAATGTCATCTCAGTGGGCCTCACCGTGTGACAGCAGCACCTGTACCTCCGAGGCCTGTGGTGGGATCAGATGAGATGAAGTGCTTGTTGCACACGGCCCAGGCACAGGTGGGTCAACTTTCAAAAGTTACCCTTTCGTGAAGTCAATTAAATATTATTTGGTTGTTTTCTCCACCAAGCTAGAAATGCTCTCCAGGTTTGGAGGCTGAAAACTAGGAGAAAACAGGAAACCAGCTTCCAGACATTTTTGCTTCAGGATCCCTAAACACCCTTGGAATCTCAATGGCCCAAATACACAGAAAGACCAATAAAGGCCTGACCACAGCAAGCAGAGAGCACCTGCTGAAATGTACGCTTGTGAAATCTTTCCTTATTCATAGCTATTGGCTCTCCTCACTTAAATCCCAAAGTGTTTTAAAATCCCCTCATGTCAGGCCAGGTGCGGTGGCTCATGTCTATAATCCCAGCACTTTAGGAGGCCGAGGTGAGAGGATTGCCTAAACTCAGGTTTGAGACCACCCCAGGCAACTTGGCAAGACCTCATCTCTACAATAAATCAAGAAATTAGCTGGGCGTGGTAGCACATGCCTGTAGTTCCAGCTACTTGGAAGGCTGAGGCGGAAGGATCGCCTAAACCCAGTAGATTGAGGCTATGGCCGCCACGAGCACACCACTGCACTCCAGCGTGGGCAACAGAGTGAGACTCCAACTCAAAAAGAAAAAAAAAAAGAAGCAAGATGTTGAGGAAGGACCTTCTGGCCATCCCTGAAGCAAGTCGTGAGCCTTTCACATGAGAGGTGCCTGTCATAGGGACAACAGAAGAATCTTGAACAAACAGGCCTCAAAGTTCTCCCCTGGTGATCACTCAGCCCAACACCCCCTTATCCTTCTGCCTTTTGCCACAGCTTTCCACCCTTCATCAAGCCTGGCAAGAAAATCATCAGGTCTAACTGCTTCCGCAGCTCTTCACTTTCATGAAGGCACCTGCATCATGTAAAACATGTATTAAATGGATGTGCATGTTCTTCCCTTGTGACTATCTTGTATCACAGAGGCCCCAGCAAATGAACCTAAGATGGGCAGAAGGAACAGATCCTTTTCCTTCCTATAAAGCCAAGGCCCCAGGGCACGGGGGTGGAGGTGATGCAGAGGGCACAAGGAGGAGCCAGCAGGTGGATCAGGCAACAGTGGAGGCAGAGACAGAGCCGCTCAGCTCCAGGAGCAGCAGAGGACCCACTCCTGGGGCCGCCATGCTGAGGCTGCCATGGCCTGGCTCGCTTCAGAAGAAAACCCTGTGCCCACTGAGGCTGAAACTGCCAGGCCCACTCAGCACCAGCCATTGCAGGAAGCAAGAGAAGCAACACAGTACAATGGGGGATAGGGACTAACAGTCAGGCAAAGCAGCTCACTACTGGCCTGGGACAAGCCATCTGACCTCTCCAAACCTGAGTTACCTCATCTATGAACTGGGACAAGTCACCTATCTCGGTTCTCGTGAACACCTGCAGGACTGAGAGGTCATCAAGAGGTAGGCCTGATGCCAACCCTTGGCCAGCACCCACATGAGTAGCTTGGGAATAGGAAAGGGCTTGCTGCAGGGCTGGCCCCAGCACTGTTCAGGCACCCATCCCAGGTGCAGAACAGGCTCCTTACAGGGGCACAACCGTCATGGGAAGGTGGAAGCGCAGGCGGTATTGGCTCTTCCTCATCTCCTCCTTTCCATGGAACTCACACACCATGTAATCCATGTAATTTTGCTGCCTCGGAAAGAAAACATAGGGAGGAAGAGCGTTGGCACAACAGTTTCAGCACTCAACTCAGAACCCAAGCCTGGGTCCCTGTGTCTATCCCCATCTCTCCTAGCCCCTTCCAGGAGCTGTGGGGCTGCTTCATGCACACTGGCCCAGCGGTGCCAAGCAACAGAACTGTTCTTGAATAAGCAAAGGATCCAGCGGCAGCATCTGGGAAACAACCTAACAGCACCCACCCCCTCAGCACATTCTGTAATATATATGCATCTTCAGCTCCTCCACACGTGGGTCACAAGATCGAGGCCCGCCCAAGTAGGCATGCGTCATACACACACACATATCAAGGTAACAGCCGGGGGGGGGGGGGC